CGGGGGGACACGGGGGGTGTGAATGGAGCTGGGAGTGACACTGGGGGGACACTGGGGGGTCGCTCAGAGCAGGGGATGACACTGGGGGTGACACTGGCAGGACATGGGCAGTGTGAATGGAGCCAGGGGGACACTGGGGGGACACTGGAGGTGACAGACACTTGTCCCTGCCCTGCCCAGGCCAGCGGAAGAGCCCATGGAGGCTGAGCCCACGCTCTGACCAGCCCGGATCGCCCGGAAAACCAAGGAACACCCGGAAGAGACGAAAAACACACACACAAAAAAAATCACAGTAAAAGGATAAAAAAAAAATCCAAAATACACAAAAAAAACCACTTAAAAAAAAAAAAAAAAAGACAAAGAAAAAAAAAAAAGGCAGAACACGAAAGGAAAACCAGAAAAAAAAGAGGAAAATATTTTCTTTTTCTATTAAAAAGAGGAGAAAAAAACCACAAAAAAATCCCCCCGCCCGTCCTGTGCCCCCGGCTCCCCGCAGTGTTTGCGGTCGTGTCTCTTGTGCAGCAGCGGTTCCACCAGCACCCCCTGTCCCCCCCTGTGTCCCCCCGTGTCCCCCCCGTGTCCGTCGGGTCCCCCCGGCACTGCCCGGACCCCCCCGGGGCTCCTCGAGATTTTTTTTTAGGGGTTTTTCCTTATTTTCCGCCTATTTTCGTGTGTCTCCCCCCTCGTTCCCTCCCTGGCTCCGGCACCCGTCCCCCCCCGGGGGAGGCGATGGGGAAATATTCGTGCCTTTAAGTAAGTATTTTTTTTTAATGCCTTAATTTCCCTTCGTTTTGGGTTTTCTTCATTTTCTTGGGTTTGTTGTTTTTCCCTTGGGCCTCCCCGTTTGGGACAGGGACACGAGACAAAGGGACGAGCCCTGTCCCCCCGCCCCGTCCCTTTGTCACCCCGGCGCCTTCGTTGGGATCAAATTTGTCCTTACAGGAGAGGGAAAAAAAAAAAAAAAAAGATAAAAAAAAAAAAAAGAGGAAAAACCACTTTATTTTCCTGTTTTGTCACCAGCCGGAGGGGCCTCGGAGCGATTTTAGCTTTAAAAGAGAGAAAACCACCCAACTCCCCCCCCAGAAAAAGGGATATAATTTTATTACAGATTGATTATTTAATAGTATTTTTTTAATGGGGGGGCGGGGATAGGGACAGCGCGTCATGGGTTAAGTTATTCCAGGGGTGGGGGGAATTTGGGGTGGTCCCAAATTAGGACAGAGGGCTCAGGCTGTCCTTGTCCCCTCTCCCGGGGAGGGAGGAGCCTGGTTTAGGGTGAGGAGCGGGGGATGACAGCGAGGTCCCCGCCGTGCGTGTCCCCAACCCTGGGGACACCCCGAGTGTGGGGGGGATCCCCCTCCCCATCCCAGGCCGGGGAAGCGCCTCTGGATTGGGGGGGCGGGGGGAGAGGAGGGTCCCGGCCCCCCGGCAGCGTGCCCGGCTTGCTTTGTGCCGGTGTCCCCCCCCCGGCCCGCCGTGTGTCCCCGTGTCCCCCCCGCTCCCGTCCGTGCCCCCGCTCGCGCTCGCTCTGGGTCTCGGTTCGGTATTTTGTAAGATGTCACCGATGTTCGTCCTTGTATAAATAAACTGTTTCTGGCAATACCCGCCGGGCCCGCTGCCTCTGGGGGGGCCGGGGGGGTGGTGCTGGTGCCCCGTGTCCCCTTTTCTGTCCCCGCGTCCCTTCTCTCTGTCCCCTTTTCCTCCCCGCGTGCCTCAGTTTCCCCGGGCACCGCAAGAGGCGCAGGGAGGGACCGGGGAGGGTCCCCTTTGTCGCCCCCCGGGCTGGGGGGGGCTCTGTTCCCCTGCCCATGTCCCCCCCCGCAGGACTCGGGGCCCGGCTTGGTTTCGGTGCTTTATTTGGTTCCAAACGGGGGGAGCCCCACACACACCGAGCTAAGAGGGGGGGTCGCGGCGGGGCTGGGGGTCCCATCCCTGCTGCAGAGGGGAGAACTGGGGGGGGGCTGGGGCGGGGGGTGGCAGCTCCGCGCCCCCCGTGGCTGTCCCTGTGCCGTGTCCCCAGAGCCGCCGCGCACCCCCAGCTCTGCCCGGGGGGGGTCCCCTGGCCTGGAGCCCCCGGGGATGGGCACGGAGCCCCCGGGAGCAGGGACCCCCTTCCCGGGGTGGGGGGCAGTCCCTGGGGCCGGGGGGGCCGAGCGTGAACTGGGACAACTGCTCAGGGTGGGGAGAGGAGTGAGAGTGAACCGGGAACTCAGAAACCCCCCACCCACTTTGGGGGGGAAGGGGAGGTGAGGATGAACTGGGACAGGCTCTGAACTGAGACCCCCTACTCAGTTTGGGGGTCCCTGGGGCAAAAGGAGTGTGAGAATGAACTGGGAGCAGAGCAGACACCCCCCACTCAATTTGGGGGTCCCTGGGACAGGCGGGGATGAACTGGGAGCGGAGCGGGGCCCCCTACTCTATATGGGGGGCGGGTTTAGGGGGCTGCCCGGAGCCGCCGGAGCGTGAGGATGAGCTGGGGCAGGAGGGAGCCCACCAGCACGGGCCCCAGGGTGTAGCGGGCGCCCACGTTGAGGTACCAGAGGGCCGTGTCCTCGCTCTTGGGCAGCTTGTGCAGCACGTCCAGCGCCAGCAGCCCCAGCGTGGCGCTGCCCAGCGGCGGCTCCAGCCCCCGCAGCTCCTGGGCAGCGCGGCGGCTCAGGGGGTGCCGGGCGGCCAGGGCCAGCCCCAGCGCGCTGCCGCTCACCCGGCACAGCGAGGCCCAGGGCCGCGTCTCGGGCCGCAGCCAGCTCGGGTCCGAGCAGCGGGCGCTGGCCCGACGGAGCGACCTGCGGGGGGAGCGCGGGGCTTGCGGTGTGAACCCCCAAAAACGCTCTGGGGACAGAGCTTTGGGGACAGCCCCCTCCCCGAACTGCTTGGGGGACGGATCCCTGGAGCCCGGGGGGGAATATCCCTGGGGTTAGTCCTGCACCCCGCAAAAATACTGCGGGAGAAGATTCCTGGGGATAACTCCCTCCAGGAGGGAGGGCTGCTCCTCGGGGATAACCCCCTGCCTGTGGGCAGATCCCTGGGGTACCCCCTGGGACCCCTCTGCCCCCTGGGACACCCCCGGGACCCCCCTGGGACACCCCCGGGACCCCCCGGGACCCCCCTGGCCCCGGGCACTCACCAGTCCAGGTCCAGCCCCGCGGCCGTGGCCAGCCCGTGCAGGGCCAGCGCGCCCAGGAGCAGCCCCAGGGCCGTCACCAGGAAGAAGCGGCACTTGAGGAAGTTGGGGGGCCAGCGCTGCAGCCCCCAGCCCAGAGCCATCCCTGGCAGCGGGAACAGGCGGGGTCGGCACTGGGATGGACTGGGAAGGGGCTGAGGGGAAGGGGAAGGAGCTGGGGTGCCTCCCCTCACCTGCCAGGGAGCCGGTGAGCACCTGATGGGGGAAGTGGGCCAGGACGAAGATCCGGGAGAGCCCCATGGCCACCAGCAGGAGGATGTAGGCAAGGAACGGGATCAGCCTGAGCAGCCGGCTGGAAGGGAACGGGGTCAGCCGGGGGCAGGGCGGGATCCACCCAGCGCCGCCCACCCCGCACTCACCTCCGCGTGTACCGGGACACTGCCGTGCTCAGCGTGGTGACAATCGGCCACAGGGCCGCCCCCAGGATCATGCAGTGGCCCGAGGGGCTCCCTGGGGGATGAAACACGGGGCTGAGGGGAGCGTGTCCCAGCGGGAGAAGAGCTGGGAATGTCAAACCCAACCCTTCCCCGCTGCTCCCGGCTTTTCCCGCTTCCAGCCCAGCATTCCCACATGGAATCCTTGTGGATCCCGGGGCTGCCCGAGCTGTGACTCACCCGGGCCCGTCTCGCAGGTGACCGGGAACTGGTGCAGCGGGAGCTGCTCCCGGCTGGAGAGCCCCGACTCGTGGATCCACCAGTACGGGCGCTCCCCGAACAGGAACCTGCGGGCAGGGAGAGCACGGAGCCGTGGGAGAGACAGCCAGCCCCGAAAGCTGGGGGGCAGGATCCCTGCAGCCCATCCCAAAGGATCCAGGAGGGCAGGATCCCTGCAGCCCATCCCAGGGGATCCAGGAGGGCAGGATCCCTGCAGCCCATCCCAGGATTCCCAGGGATGAAGCCACAGCGGGAGGACAGGATTCCCTTGGCAGTCCTGCCGCCTCCTGGGGTTTTCTCTGCCAGGAATTCCTGGCAGATGCTTGGGGCAGCTCCGGTGACCCTGTGGAATGCCGCAGGCAGGGAGCGGGGAGTCTCTGGCCAGAATTCCACAGGCAGGGAGCCGGGAGTGTCCCAGTGCCCCCCTCCGTGTCCCCCCTCACCATTTGAGGACCACGTTGAGCCACTCGGCCACAAGGGCGATCCAGAGGACCATCATGGACACGTGGTCGTCCAGCCCGCGGGCCAGCGGGAAGCAGATGGTGTAGATGGAACCGGGATCCAGGTGGGAGGTCAGGAAGAGCCAGAACTGCTCCAGCCAGGGCGGCCCAGCCTGCAGGGCCACGGCTGCGTGGATCCCGGCCTCATGCAGGGCATCCATGGCACTGGGCTGGGACACAGGAGGGACATCAGCCCCCGCACGGATCCCCTCAGGAATCCCTTGGGATCAGGGTGGGAGGTGGCTGGATCCCCAGGAATCCCTTGGGAACAGGGTGGGAGGTGGCTGGATCCCGAGGGATGCCTTGGCACTGATTCAGGGACTCATTCACCACTTGAAGTTTGCCCACAAATGGCTCCCAAATTTCTGCTGGGGGGTCCTGGCAGAACAGACCTGTGGCTCTGGGATCTGGGCAGGATCAGGGGATTGCTGGGGATTTGCTGGAGCAGCTGTGATGCTCCAAAGAGCCACCACCTCCCTGGGACTTTCCCTTGGAAACCTCCCGTGTCTCCCTGAGGTGATTCTGCAGAAGGCCTGGGGTGTCCCTGGAGTCCTCCCTGGAGCCACCCTGGGTTTTCTTTGGGGTTTTCCTGGGGTCTCCCTAAAGCGGGTCCTGGGCCTCCCTGGGGCCCCTCTGGGCCTCCCTCTGCTCTCAGGCCTGAGGCCTCCCTGGGGTCTCCCTTACATCAGACCCGCGGCCTCCCCATTCCAACCAGCAGTCTCTGAGCCGCCCTGACCCTCCTCAAACCTCCCCGCGGTGCTCCCCAACCCCCGGTACCGGCGGGAGGTACCTCAGGGGGGGGCTTCATCCCGGGGACCCCTCAAAACTCCCTCCCGCCGTTCTCAGCGCCCTCTTCTGCCTACACTTCCCATCACCGCCCGCGGGGCGGCGCTCTACGGCGGGGCGGGAGGGACAAAAAGCGGCCGGGGTGCGCTCAGCCAATCAGGGCGCGGGGCGGAGCAGATCGGCGGGGCGGAGCGCCAATCCCCGCCCTCGCTGCCGCGCGGCCCCGCCCCCGCCGCGCCTGGCCGAGGCGAGCGGAGCCGCGGGCGCTGCGGGCGGACAAGATGGCGGCGCCGGGCGAGTACTTCAGCGTGGGCAGCCAGGTGTCCTGCCGCACCTGCCAGGAGCAGCGCCTCCAGGGCGAGGTCGTCGCCTTCGACTACCCCAGCAAGATGCTGGCGCTCAGTATCCATCCGCCCGCGCCTCGCCGCGCTGGTCCCGGCCCCGGCGCGGCCCGCTCGGGCCTCTGCGGCCCGCCCGATGGGGAGCGGGGGGGGGCGTGAGGGAGGGAGGGGAAAGGGGGGAAGGAGGGGAGGGGGTGTGAGGGGATCGAGGTGGGCGGCGACAGGGAGGGGTTTGAGGGGTAGCGGGGAGACCCCCGA